AAGTACTATGTTGGGTAGAAGACCGACGGCTTGCAGAAGTCCAGTGTCAGGTAGAATTCTGACAAAAGTCCTACAAGGTAAAAGTTCAGCAATAAAAGAAAATTCAACATCGGGTAAAAATTTAACTTTGTAGAGAAGTCTGATGGAAGTCCATTAACGGCATTCTGACGACGTTAACCAAGGATGTAAGATCTATCCGAGGTTGTATGTCAGAGCCTTTGCTTGATATTGTTAACATATATTGGATCCACCAAAGATGTGAGACTTATCCGAGGTTGTATGACAGAGCTTTTTCTCTACGACGTTAACATGTATGGAAGAGGTCGAGAGAATCCACCAAGAATATGAGACCTTTCTGAGGTTGTATGCCAGAGCCCTACTCGATGACGTTAACCTGTGTGGAAGAGGTCGGGAGAAACCACCAAGGACGTTAGACCTATCTGAGCTTATATGTCAGAGCCATGCTTGATGACGTTAACCTATGTGGAAGAGGTCGGGAGAATCCACCAAGGATGTAAGACCTATCCGAGGTTGTATTTCGGAGCCTTTGCTCGACTACGTTAACCTGTGTGGAAGAGGTCAGGAGAATCCACCAAGGATGTAAAACCTTTTCGAGGTTGTATGTCGGAGCCTTTGCTCGACGACGTTAACTTGTGTGGAAGAGGTTGAATCGAATCCCCCTGGGATTGATTTTGCCTTGATTGGGAGGGGGCGAATGCCGCGTTTATCCCGAATCAAAGATAAAAAAGGGTTATCTTTAGACCGTTAGTGCCTTTTTGAGGTCAAGATCAAGACCTTGCCCAAGGAGTAGAAATCCAGTAATGGACTATATAAAACTTGTAATTGATTGGAAGTATCCTTGTTATCGCTGGGATTTTCCTGAAATATTTTCTTGATATAGAAAGCATCGGATGATCTTTTTGACCAGAATTGGGGTCAAAGTTATCCCAATGCCCGCATCTGATAACAATAATGACTGATGTCAGGAATTTGATAAGAGCGATCTTTTGAGATTGGAGCAAAAGTTTCCCCCCAGTCGGGAACATGTTCCCACAGACAACGCCAAACTGTTGCGTCCAGGAGTATTTACGGCGGTAGAGAAATATAAAGTTTTTCGTCTTAGCATTGTACGAAAATCCGGCACGCAATCAGATAAGAGAAAGGGTCTAGAATTTATGAGACACCAAGATTTTTACGTGGAAAACCCCTAAAAAGGGGGAAAAACTACGGGGCCTAGCATAGTTTGAATGAATCCACTAGTATTGCAGTTGATTACAAATGTGGCCCTTCTTTGGTAGAAGGTCTTAGCTTGATGTACATCTTATGGAGTACATTACATAATGTTAGTACAAAGAGTCATTATTGACATGTACGTTAGGTCGGAAGGACCGTAGTCTTAGGGCGATGGAGGTCGGAAGACTTGTAGTCGGTAGGCAACGTATGTAAGGAGGACCGTAGTTGGCGGGCGACAGAGGTCGCAAAGACTGTAATCGGCAGGAGACATAAGTCAGGAGGACCGTAGTCGGTGGACGAAGGAGGTCAGAAGAACTGTAGTCGGCGGGCGACATAAGTCAGGAGGACTGTAGTCGGTGGGCGACGGAGGTCGGAAAGACTGTAGTCTGACGACGAAGATCAGAAGGACAACTTCAGGTAGAAGTCCAACAATGGAAAGAAATTTATCTTTGCGTAGACGTACAACGAAGTCCAATAACCGGTAGAAGTCCGGCGTCGAGTAGAAATGTGGCGAAGAGTGAAGGCCCGACGCTCTGCTCAAGGCCCGACGCTCTGCTCAAGGCCCGACATTCTGCTCAAGGCCTGACATACTCCTAAAGGCCTGAAGTTCTGGCCCGACGTTCTGGCCCGACATTCTGGCCCGACGTTCTGTTGAAGGCCCGACGCTCTGCTCAAGGCCCGACGTTCTGCTCAAGGCTCGACGTTCTGCTCAAGGCCTGACACTCTGCTCAAGGCCCGACATTCTGCTCAAGACCCGACGCTCTACTCAAGGCCCGACGCTCTGCTCAAGGACCGACATTCTGCTAAAGGCTCAACGTTCTACGGAGGCCCAACATTCTGCTCAAGGCCCAAAGTTCTGTTCAAGGCCAGACTACCAACTAACACTCGAACTTCCAGGTGACGCCGGGTCTAACACCAGACTCCTATCGAACAGTTACTAGTTGTAATCTGATTGCCCTTGGGGGCGATTTAGCCCTTTGTAACCGACTCAAAATCTAGTGAAATCATTTTCGACTGGGTTAGGCCCCGTGGTTTTTCCCCCTTTTTAGGGGTTTTCCACGTAAAAACTCTGGTGTCTCTTATAAATGCTACTCTCTCTTACTTATCTGATTGTGTGCTGGATCTTCGTACAATGCTAAGACGTTAAACTATATATTTCTCTACCGCCGGGAATATTCTAGGACGCAACAGTTCACTTCTTGACATCAGTCATTGCTGCATCAATTTTATAAGAATCATATGCGGGCTGGGGGCAACTTTGACTCCAATCATGATCAAGAAGATCCCTCCAGTGCTTTCAATATTAAGATAATATTTTAAAAAAATTCCAGCGAATGCAAGGATACTTTCAATCTATTATAAGCTTCATACACGAATGATGGAACCATGAAGAACTCAAGGTTTGGAGGATGAGTTTCAGATTTAAAGAATTTTGCTTAAGGTTATAGACAATCGATATGTTGAGGACTTCATAGAAAATCTAGAAACCTAATCATGGAAACCTTTTAGTTGTTGGAAAAGCATTTAGAAAACATACGGCCTTGGCTTCGTGAACGATCAGGCACACCGAGGAGACGATGTTGGCTTCTTGCTTTGCGATCGAGCAGAATGAACAACGGAGAGTCGGAGACGGTGATGGTTTCGGCACTCCTCAGGCCGTCGTGGAAGATGATAGATCGCGAATGAGGGTTTTTTTTAGTCTGGCTTTTTTCTTCGCGACCGCACAGAATGAACGAGGGTTTATTTCCTATATACCGCATATGTTTCCCTCCCGAAATCTCGGCTGTTCGATTTGGCTAATCGGCACAAAAGCCGAACCGGCCGGTTATCAAAAACCGAAACCGGTTTTCCGGTTGAGCGGTCGGATCGCCAGTTCGGGCGGTTCGACGCCAATTTTCAGCGAAACAGGTTTTATATTGGACCGGAACCGGCCGGCCGGCCAGTTCGCGGTTCAACCGGTTGAACCGGCCGGTCCAGATTTAAAAGCCTTGCTCCTCCCTCTCTTTTCCTCGTTTCTTTCGCCCCTCTCTCTACAACCTTTTCTCTCTCCCCCCTCTCTTCAGCCTATTTTCTCTCTTAGCTTTAGTTGGATGTAATATTTCTTTTGGCACATTTTGAATAGGGTTGTCAAATTCAGGTCGTGGGTCGGGTTCAGGTTCAGCCCAAAAATGATCCAACACTGTTCGACCCGACCCAAACCCTACATATTTTTAAAAACGGGTCAGTTTTTCCAACCCAAACCCAACCCGCATCGAGTTCGGGTAGAACCGAACTTGACCCGCCAAGTTCCAACCTTGTGCATGAGTTCATCGTTGAAGGAGGCGTTGTTGCAGCCGACCTTAGAGCTTAGAGGCATCTAGGGTTTGCTTTTTTATCTTCTATTTTTTGTCGTTGCTGTAGAGATTGCAAGAGTCATTGGTTCCTTTGTTGTTGTTCGACTTTGCTCCTTGGGTGACGTTCCTTTTCGGTTGGATCATAAGTTACAACAATTTGGTCGGAAGCAACGACAAGAGTTTGCTCGCTGTGAAGGTAACTTTCTCAGTTTCACCCGCTTAATGGAGTCTAAGGTTTGCTTTTTTATCATTTCTTTTTCGTCGTTGCTTACTTGTTGTAGAGATTCCAGGAGTCGCCGGCTCCTTCATTATTGTTCTACTTCGCTACTCGGACGACGTTCCCTTCTGATCAGATTAGAAGTTACAACATTTTGATCGGAAGCAACGACAGGAGTTTGCTCGCTGTGAAGGTGACTTTCTTTGTTTAGTGCGCTTCTTCGGCCAAATCCCTTAAATACGCCGAATTACAGGATTCTGGGTCAAAATTGGGGCATTCTTAGGTTTACCGATCAACCCGAACCGACCCGGAATTTAAAACGATTCGAAAATCATGACCCAAACCCGTCCCGTTCTGAATTTGAATTGATCCTAACCCGAAAAATTAGGGTCGGATTTGAGTTGGATTTTTGGGTTGTATCAATTTTTGACACCACTAATTCCGAATGAGTTATTTTATTTTATAAATTTATTTCTTTTTAAATTATGTAATTACTAATAAACATGTTCCTCTTACTAATTATGAGACTGAACGTGCTGCTCTCTAAAATAATAAACCCAGTGCACAGTCGCTGGCCACATATTACGCTAATTGAGGATCGTCTCGCATAAATGCGTAGTGTTGACCTGCTATTTGACTCCTTCGTTAAACCGTAAATCTCTCTTTCATCCAAATTAGCCTCTCATAATCTCATTACTGGACCACTAATGATCAGATATTTATTCCCTGCATCTTCTTCCTTTATATTTGCTGGCCAATATGTAAATAAATAAACTATGGGTTGTTGTTATTTTTGGTAAGAATTCTGTCATATCGTTAAATATTTGATATTAGAAAGAAATTTACTTTATAAGAATTTTTTAAGATTTATAATATCTTTCATAACATAAAATAAAAGATAATGCAATTAACCTATTAAATATTCATAAATATAATATGATTAAATTATTTATTTAAAAATGAATATAATGAAATTTTTTTATTTAAAAAGTACATAAAAATGCCCTCACATGATTTATATGAGTACAAGCTTAATAATTTTAAAATTTTGTTAATATTCATATAATTTTTAAATATTTTATATAGCACTATTTTTTATCTAAATTTAGAAATTGTTAAATTCGTTTTGACGTAAATCTGGATATTGCAATGTATTTAACATAATTATTTTATTTTTTTATGCTGTTGAAGGTAATAAATCTATTTTATGATTTGGCCCTGGTTGGGTGGGTAGCATACGCCGATTGCTGAGCGGCGGCACCGAGTCCTAAAAAACTCGCCACTAAAAGATCCCAATACGAAAGGCTCCACCTTTATCCCTCTTACCCCCCTTGACCCTCTGCCATGGCCGCCGCCACAACTACGTCTCCCACCGCCGGCAGGCTTCCCTTTTCCCCACATCCTAACGCTAATCCCGCTCGTCTCTCCTCCCCCGCCTCCCTCAAAACCCCTTCAAAACCCGTCTCCCTTCATCTCCGCCACCTCACCGTCCCCTCTGCCGCCGGCGCCGCCGCTCCCTATCCAGACTCTTCCTCCTCTTCTATTCCCGACCTCCTCTCCGACAAACCCCGTGACGAATGCGGCGTCGTCGGCATCATCGGCGACCCCGACGCCTCCTACCTCTGCTCAGTCGCCCTCCACGCCCTCCAACACCGCGGCCAGGAGGGCGCCGGTATCGTCTCCACCCACCGCCCCAGCTCCGACTCCCCCGTTTCTCTCCGCTCTGTCACCGGCCTGGGCCTCGTCTCCCAGGTCTTCCAAGACAAGTCTAAGTTCGACTACCTCTCCGGCTCAGCCGCCATCGGCCACGTTCGCTACTCCACCGCCGGTTCCGCCTCCTCCCTCGCCAACGTCCAGCCCTTTCTCGCAGGCTACCGCTTCGGCCAACTTGCCGTCGCCCACAACGGCAATCTCGTCAACTACTCCTCCCTCCGCGCCAGCCTCGAAGACTCCGGCTCCATCTTCAACACCTCCTCCGACACCGAGGTTATCCTCCACCTTATCGCCAACTCCAACTCCCGTCCTTTAATCTCCCGCATCGTTGATGCCTGCGAGGCCCTCCAAGGTGCCTATTCCCTCGTCTTCCTCACCAAAAACAAGCTATTCGCTGCCCGCGACCCATACGGATTCCGTCCCCTCGTCCTTGGCCGCCTCCGGCGCCCCAGCCGCGGCATCGTCTTCGCCTCCGAGACCTGCGCGCTCGACCTAATTGAAGCCGACTACGAGCGTGAGGTGAATCCTGGGGAAGTCATCTTTGTCGATGGGCATGACCTGTCTATCTCCTCCCTCTGCCTCATGCCTCCTAAACCTCGTAAAGCTTGTATCTTTGAGCACATCTACTTCGCTCTCCCGAACTCCATTGTGTTTGGCCGCGCTGTCTACTCTTCGCGATATTCTTTCGGTTCTACGTTAGCGAAGGAATCTCCAGTAGCCAACGCCGATGTAGTTATCCCTGTTCCTGACTCGGGCTTCTATGCGGCCCTTGGCTATGCTTCCCACTCCGGCGTTCCATTTCAGCAAGGGCTTATCCGCTCTCATTACGTCGGCCGAACGTTTATTCAACCAGAACAGAACATAAGGGATTTGGCGGTGAGGCTTAAACTAGCACCTGTGAAGGGGATTTTGGAAGGCAAATCAGTGGTTGTTGTTGATGACTCCATTGTTAGAGGAACAACAAGCTCTAAGATTGTGAGGCTTATTAAGGACGCTGGCGCAAGGGAAGTTCATATGAGGATTGCAAGCCCTCCAATTGTTGGTTCATGTTACTATGGGGTGGATACTCCTAGATCAGAGGAGCTGATATCTAATAAGATGGATGTAGAGGGGGTGAGAAATGCAATTGGTTGTGATTCACTTGCTTTTCTATCGCTTGAAAGTCTTAGAAATTTGCTTGGGAAGGAGGCGCCGAGTTATTGTGATGCTTGCTTTTCAGGGAACTATCCTGTTCCACCAATGGAGAATGAGGCAGATAGGTTGCTAGCAGAGGAGGAAGAGTGAGGTCAGTTTTTTCCTTGTATACTTCGTTGAGATTATGATGATGATTCTTTCACTGTGGAAGAAGGCAAGTTTTGTTTCTTTTTCTTAATTTGATCTTTTTTTTTTTGCATTTTGCTTCTTTTCTTTGTTTGGCTCTAAATCATTGGAATTGTTAGAGTTTAAAAGGATTTATGCAATCAATATATACTTAATATTTAGTTCCACAATACATATATTTTTTTATTGTCTTTCTCTCTTGATTTTTTATAGATATATTTGGACTAGTATTAAGACTAATCAAGTAAAGAAACAGTGTTTTATGATTTCTAAAATGCTCTTATATTCTTCTTTATCATGATTTTTTTTATTTTTTTTATTATTCTTTTATGTTGCTTATGTTTGTATTAGCATTAAAATTGATCAAATAAATATAAAATGAGAATATGGTTGATGATGATAATGAGAACTCTTATAGTATATGTTAAATTTCTTTGGCACTTGTAGTTAGAAGGTGGTACGCTAGAGACTGGATTTCCTTACATCTAAGAGCTAAGAAGCAGAGTTCTTTGCATTCAGAAGTATAATGGTCTCGCTTGTTTTAGTAATATAATTAAAATTATATGCAAAATTTAACAAAGATTTGTTATAAAATAATTAAATCTAGCTGGTTTACATCTGTCTAATTGTATGAATAGATATTAAGGAGATCTAGATAAAGAATGAGATCTTTGAGAATAATTTTTCGTTGATGAAGTCTCTTGCGACTTCACTTTGAATTGATGAGTAGTTTTGGATGTTTGGATGACTTAGTAGTTAGATTTTTAGTGTTTTTTAAAATAGTTTTTTAGTATAAAATTTTTAATTTTAGTACTTAAAAGTTGTTTTAAGAATAAGTAAGAAAGTCATCCCAAACAAAACTTTAGTAAGGAGGATCAAATTTTTTGCTTGATAACTTAAAATTTATGTCTAGTTGCTTGAATTGCTTGATTTATTTGAACCTATTTCATAATAATAATAATAACAATAGATTAAGACTTTGTTTCAGATAATTTTTTTACTACATTCTAAAACAGCTTTCAAGTACAAAAATTTCTTAACTAGAAATTTTTAGTACTAGAAATTTTTTTTAGAAAGTATTAAGAAAGCTACCCCATATGAGAAATATATACTCAAAACCTGTCTCCACAAATCTAGCAATTTGCTATGCAAACATTTATTATAAGATAAATTTCATTTGAGAGCAATGTTTTATGTAGGTTTATGATTTTAAAAACCATTCATTGTGATCCTTAGCATCTTGAGATTTCAGTATGATCTCTCAACTTAATTTCCAGCCTTCAATGAGTCAATGTTTGTTTGCAATGTTAAATAAAATTCTAATTTAGTTAGTGTGGTTTTTGAATTAAACGTGAATGTGATTAATTTTTTATGATCAAATAGTCTTATTCTCAAGATATCTCTCCAATTCTGGGTTTGGTTAGTCTAGAGTTAAGTAGTTTTCTAGTAAGGATGTTTCGCTCTCTTCGCTGCCATCAGAAAAGTAGCAGAGGAAGAATAGAAGAGGTGGAGACAAATGGAAAGATCCTATGTCTCTTATGATTTGTTCTCAGGGGGTTAGATTTTTTTTCCAATAAGGTTGAGCAACTCAAGCCATTGATATTGGAGAAGAAGAAAATGAGTATGAGAGGATGTGGCAGGCGAGATCCTTCGTTCATCATCAATCAATTTAGAAGCAACACTTTATATCTAGAAATTTATGGGGGAGGTGAAATCGCCAAAGATCGTTGTAGATTGTCAACATTAGGTGCGAGAGAGATGGACAAATTTTGCATCATAAGAAGAAAGGGTTGATAATACTGTCGATACTAGGTCTCAAGTCTTGCACGAGAAAAATGAAGGGTTACATTAGATAGTTAACAACCAATGTAAAATTTATGATTAAGGAAGACAAAAGTACAAAGCATATTGATGTCTTTTTATATTCAATTAATGATACCGTTAATAATAGGACTTATCTAAGGTACCAAATGTTAAGATCAAAATGGAAAGCTTTTTACACTGATAACCCTAATTTGAGGGGTTGCATGTTATTTATAATTTATCAAGAAGTGATATCTTATTTGGTTATACTATATATTCATAAGTTTTTTTTTTATTTTTATTTTTGTTAAAGATATTTACATGCAGAAAAAATTAGGTCAGTATCTATTTGATTTGAAAGCTATTAGCTATTAGATTTATTTTAAAATAAATCTAATATATAAAAAATAATTAAAATTTATATGATATTTATCTCAAAAATAGATGTAATTATTTTAATGCCCATCATAATCAAATTTAATAAAGAATATAATGCATGTCCTGGCTTTTTTTTCGTTTCTTAAAATAACTTTTTAGTTAAAAAAAAATAATTTTTGTATTAGAAAATTGTTTTAAGAAGTAGTAAGAAAGTGGTCTCAAACAAAGCTTAGGTAATTCCTTTACCATCAAATGGAAGTCACTTACTAGCAATTAAATTTTTTTTTTTCATGGAGGAGATAAATAATGGTTTCAAAATTTATATTTGGGCTGATGATATATTTGGATAAGAAACTCACATGTGTGGATTTGGAGAAATTATTTTGTCTGGAGTCTAGACTAGCTCTGTGTCTGGATTCCAATAAAATCGCAACACTTGGATTATACACATAGATTACTTAAGACCCGACGATCCGACCCAACCGAGCTAAATTTTTTTTGAAAAAATCACGGTAGCCCACTCATCTTTTATGTTTTTAAAAAAGAAATTCGTAAAAACTCTCAAATATTTAGTGTTTTTGCATAATAAAATATTTGATGTCTTGAGAGAAAAAAAAAGAAACAAACAATGAAGATAGAGATTGGTTGGACTTCCTATTTTATGCAGAGCCATTAAAAAAGAAGGAAAAGCTTAAGAGTAAGGTGATTTTACTTGCATAATTACTTGTTTTAAATATATATTAAGAGGCAATATATATTTTTACTTTTTGCTTAGCTTAGTTTTTTAACAGAAAATATGTCTTAAAGGAAATACAATAGAACTGTGTTTACATTCAAGGCTTATCAAGTTCTCAAACAAGCTCAAATACTTTAACGAGGAACTTATAAGTTGGGCATGAATGGTTTATGCGTTTTTGTGATGTTTCACACAAATTCACTTATAATGTATTCTTCAAAAATTTATATGTAGAATGCTGCAAAAACGCATGTTCTATAAATCAACAATGTAAAAGTTTATGTAAAATGACAAATTTGTGGACGTTCATTTATCCTCTCAGATATAATTATTATGCATTTTTTTCTTTCGTTTATATGATGTTTTTGTTCATTTTGATGTCGTTGTGTATGACTGTGTATCGCTATGCACTATTAATAGCAATGAACTTTTTTATGGCTAACATTTTGGTTTCCTAAGAAGTTGGACGGTTTTCTCACAAAAGTTAATTTAACAAAATCTAAATATTTCATCACAAAGAAGATCTGGGTATTCATTTGTTAGCATAATTCTTCATCACACATTAATTTTACTATATGTCCCCCACAAAATCTAGCAATAAAAAAGTTTTGACTAGTTTGGTGCTATGCTTGAATATCTATGATCATAATAAATTTTGGTCATGTGGTTTGACTTTAACCAAAAATAAGTATGATCATAACAATTCAATATTATGGTCATCACGGTTGTGAGGTTGTGAGGCTTCCTTGTTTTATCACCATTAGTTTCAATATGTTTATCTCAAAACCTTATATATTTAAATTTTCTAGCTACCTAATTTAAGAAATCTCTTAGCTTTATTTCTCATAATTTTTTTATTTTTTGTTATTCTTAAAGAGAAAAAAAAAATCTTTAATTAACTTTTTTCAAGATTATGCCATGAATTTAAAACAGCATTCTAATTGTTAACTTATCAAATATCCTCGAACTTGCCATAAAATATGAAGATACTGCGGCCCTTGGTTTCTATTTATAGTTTTAGCTTTACAGTTTGGAATAGTCATAAAAACATGTTCAGTAGACTGGAATTTTCTCTTATGATAGAAATTAAGACAAAAATATTGATCATCATGAAACAAAACATAATTTTGGACTTTGTCTAGTTTATCTTTTTGTTCATGTCATTCATGCTCATTTTCTTGTATTTTTTATATACAGCGGTACATGGCATCAAAATGAACAAAATATATTGTAAACGAAAGAGAAAAATGAGATTTTCCTTGCTCTTCAACGAGCAATACTAAATAACTATGTAATTCTTAATCAGATTTCTAATATGGAATGTTGTAAACCTGCACCATAAATCGGTTCAAATTCCAGTCAATGAAATAATTGCTTCCAACGCATGATTGTTTCTTGCAATTGAATCTATATGACTTGTACACATCGGTATATAGCGGTATACAACATCAAAATGAACAAAAAACTTATTCAGTTATTTTTAAAAGACCAGAAGCATACAAAACCATAATGGTTAACAACCTTACATATATCTAACTAATTTAGTTCACCTGTAATAGCTCAAAACATCAAACCATGATAGGTAATCTCTTTTAGGCCTAATACCACAGATCTATAGATGCATCAAGAAACCCAAAACATCTCTTCTCACTCAATTTAATTAAAATGGCCACTGACATAAGCCAAAATTTTAATATTACAGTCAATATAATAAGTACACAACGGTACACAACAACCTTTATTTAAGAATGCGGTATTATATTATCGAAATGAATCAAATAGAATGAGAAAAAACTAATCATTTTTCATCTCCATCAACTGCATATTTAAGAATGTAGTATTATATTATCAAAATGAATCAAACACAAATAAAAAATAAAGCATGATCTGCAAAATACAAACAAAACTTCAAAATTATCCTTACAACCAAAATTATTTCTGAATTTCGCCAGGGGGCGCTTCCCCCTTGGAGTAAATCCGATCAAGACTGAGCAAAGGGTAATTTTTAAGACTAATCATGATTAGGATCATACTTAGCGGAATAAGCATCATTTTTATTAAATTTTAAAGTATGCATAATCGCCAGTTTAACTGGCAATTAGCTTTTTGCCTAAATCGCCCAACTAACCATCGAT